CCTAAAGATTACCAAAAATAACAAAATATTGCACTCAAACTATTAACAGAACTGTGTCAATCAGTCCCTCACACTCCAATCATAAATTTATTTACTACTTTACCTTTTAGTACTGAGTAACTAGTATCAATGTCAGACAACAGCCTGTTCTCTTATACTTTTTAGAGAGCTGAATCACAAGGCTCGAGGGAAAGCCTCATATTTTCTGTCCTTACATAAAGGAAAGGACGAATAAGAAACATTATTAGCGTGTAGTAACAATGAAATAAAACAGATACAAAAAAGACCAGAGAGGCAGACTATAGAGTGGGTAGAAGTTTATTGGAAGCAATATTGAGTGTTGCTGCTCTGAGGGCTAGTCAATAAAGTGCCAATCCATAGCAACCATTCTTCCTCTTACCTCTTGCATTTCTTCTAGTTTATTGGACCCTTGTGATGGCATTAGAATCTATGGGGGTGATTTACTAACCTAAACACACGCACGCACTAGGTGCGTGTGATTTTTACACAGCAAAACATATTTATCAACCAAAAAGTCTCTAAAAGAAGAACACACTACAGAGGTGTATACATGTTCGTGGTGTGTTTATAAGGTTAGTAAATCAACCCCTATGTGTCACCTCCTTATATAAGAATGTGACACATAGATTCTAAAGCCAGGAGGTGACACATAGGGGTTGATTTACTAACCTTATAAACACACCACAAACATGTATACACCTCTGTAGTGTGTTCCCTCCCAGCATGATCTATGGGTGGAATCTAAACACCTTTGTAGTGTGTACACACCCAGCAGGAGAGAAATGGGTTTGCACTTTATGTGTTATCTGCATACATCAGGTTAAAGCTTCCAACCTGTAGATAAACTCTTTTACCTCCAAAGATCACATTAGGCCCTCGTTCATACCTAGGCATTTTGTCGTGCAAAACTATGCATGACGAACCGCGCAAAATGAGAAAGCCCATTCATTGCTTTAGTCCCTGTTCACACATGAGCATTTTGTTGCAAGCTGTAAAACGTCAGATGCTCAAAACACTTTTGGAAGTTTACAGGGCATTTCGTCCCCGCAGACACAATAGGAAACGTCTGGAAACACACGTCACAAAAAATGATGTGTGTTTTTACGCATCTTTGAATGTCTTGCCTATTTACACCACTGTCTTAGAATCTGCCAGCTGAAATGTGTGACTTAATGTATGCATGTCAGATGTGTACACAAACGTACACACGTGTCACAGTGTTTGCCTGATAAAGGGACGGTTCCGAAACATTACCCCCAGCACAGTCACTATGATTGCTTAGCGTTCTAATAAAAGGGGTTTGCACATTGGACCTTGGAGTGCAGGTGACATTTTCTTGAAGACGTGTACACAAACACACAAAATAAAATCAATAGCAGTAGACGAAAACACGCATACAAATGTGCAAGAACCCTGACGCCTAGGTCTGAGCAGGGTTCAACTATACATTGCTATGATGTACAAGTGGCAACATTGAAGAGGGATAAGTAATTACAATTTCCTCTAGTGTATCTCTTTTATTCACATTGGAGATATGCTGTGTTGTTTGATTTTTTTTTCTTTTTACAAAAAACAATGGTAGAAATGAGGTAGGAAGGTATTTGTACCACATGAAAATTCCCTTTTTGTATCAAGGAGCATTCTGCCACTTCTTGAGTCAGAGCATGATTTTCTGCCTCCTCTAGTCACTTATTTCCATGACCTCCATCAAACTCTATCTGCCTATCATGAATATCTCTATTCCTGTATACATTTCGGGGCAGCACACTGATGCAGACTCTTAAATACTACATTATTTCCTCCTATGTATGCAAGAGCCAGCCATCAATATTGCACAAGAGGTAAAGAGGATCAATGAGAAATGTGACCTTCATGTATGTAGAGTTTTTTTATAGGAAATGTGTCTTAGAGAAACCTGTAAGATTACTTACATATTTTTAAAGTGTCACTGGGAAATGACAGTTGGACTCTGAATAATGGGAAACAAGAACACATTCTTTCAAAACCATTCCTTCCGTTTTACTTTGGTGGAAAGGCTTAATGTGGAAGCAAAGGTGTCACCACTTTTCTTGTTAGAGTTAAGGAATACAGCTGTGTCACCACTCCATCCGCAGTCCACTGAATGGATGCTGAAGTAGCAACTGGAGTAGCAACACACTAATAAGTCATCACTCTATTCTATCCTCCTATATGCATATTTATTATTCAGCAGTACCTGAGTGGTGCAGTGTTGCCCCTACCTCTCCCTGTCTGAATGCTGCTGTGAAAAAGGATAGCAGGTGGCTGCTATCACCTGATTAATATACTATTTTCATGGAAACACCCGATTGCAATTAATTAGAATTCATCTTCAAATGCATTTTAAATACAACCATTGCAACTACCTGAATTTGACTTGGTATCAACCTTTTGTAATCTCCTGAACAGTAGCACTCTGACCGGGAGAAGGAGGGGCAGTTCTTGGGGCCAATCAGCCCTTGCTGCATTTACATGTGATGAATAGGAACATAATAAGAGGAGAGAGTAGACTGAGAAAATAGCTGAGCTCATCGGTGAGCTGCTTATCCTTCACTATCCAGTCAGAGGCAGGGGTCAGGGTGGTGACCTTGCTGTTAAAATTCAGTAGAAAAAGTCAACAGTCTGTCTGGAAGGATTTTGTGGATCTTGGGAATTAATGGACAGAAATACAAATCCTTTGGTATGTGAGACAGCTCCCATATTTAGTTGTTCCACTGTTCATTTTTGAAGAATCAAAAGGCTTTTCAGAAAAGTTAAGTAAAATAATATTCAACAATCTTTTTATACATTTATACACTTATACGCAAAAAATAAATAAAATTGCTAAGAAAAAAAATCATTGGAATGGAAATGTTTTTCCATTTTACACAGCCTGCCCAAATGCACTGGGTGACAGATCTTTCCCCGCTGTCTGCAAGAAATTGACTGAACAATAATGACAAATGAATGCTTCTTAAAATTATGAAAGATTGGTGAAACATAACCGAAAAATTGACTTTGATGCTATATTCTGCTCAACATAATAACAATACACGTTTTATTGCTTTCAACACAGCACAGTGTGTTTTTAAACAGGAAAACATGAAGTGCTTCTAAAAAGAGCATAAACATAAACACTTTTTAATTCTCAAGTTTCCCTAAAGAGCCAATTTACCTGAAACTCATAATATACCGGAAATGGAGTCTGGGGAACTCAATCAACTGTCAGTTTCCAAAATCTATTTTGGACATCTGTGACATCTTCTCAGTTATGGTAATTTGACATGTTATAAGTAATTACCAAAGTGTTTACTGCATGAATTTTCATTGTGATATCATTTTCTAAATCAATTTATGTATATCTAAAGCTAAAACTGTATCTTTAGTTTTGATAGTAAAAGCGAAGGGCTATAAGCTCTTTTATTGTTGTATCCCCACTGGAGATATTTACCCTTTCTATTTGTCCTGCTGACCACAGTCAATGTGACAGAAAGTGATGGGAAATATTTCATGTAAAATAATAATAATAATATGTCAGTGAAACAGAACATCCTTGTGTGTGTTGTAAAGCAGCCACCTCTCCAGGTTCGCTCCCATGATGGACTATAACATCAATACAAATAAGTAAACTAAACGTGAGATTGTAGTCCAGCATGGGAGTGAGCTTGGAGCGGTGGCTACTTTACAACACACTCAGGGACCATGGGGAACAAAAGTAGCCACCCTCAGGGAGGAAGGACAGTGTCAGCACCAATTCAGAGATGATTTGAGGATCTACAGCTGAGTAATGCACAAAAGGGCTACATTTTTGTTAATTGTTAAGGTACTTGAATGCATTTTTAAGATTTAAGTCCTGAGTTTGGTGTCACTTTAACTCACTGCCAACATTTAACCTAACCCTGAAACTTAAAGTGACATTAAACCCTCAGATTTTTTAACGTAAAACAATACTGTAATGTGTGCCTTACTGTAATCCATGGTAGTTTCCATTCTCTTTGCTGCTCTTCCTTTTAAATCCTTATCTCTTCTCATGCTGGGGGAGAACTTACCTTTGCAGCTGAGTGCCTCTTCCTGTAGTGCTGGCTCAGGTTGTGAACCTGCACACAGACACCATGGGGGTGATTTACTAACCTAAACACACGCATGCACTAGGTGCGTGTGATTTTTACACAGCAAAACGTATTTATCAACCAAAAAGTCTCTAGAAGCATATTTCCACTAATGCCATATATGGAAAAATCATGCACATGATGCATATATTATGCTGTTTCACAGTTTAGACAAAAATGGTTAGCTCATGCATATACATTCCTGCATTCATCAACGCAAGCAACACAATGTAGAGCTAATTTACACAACATCACCTTGCAGTTCATGCAGGGCTTTGCACAACACACCTGCTGGGTGTGTAACCACTACAAAGGTGTCTAGATTCCACCCATAGATCATGCTGGGAGGGAACACACTACAGAGGTGTATACTTGTTTGTGGCGTGTTTATAAGGTTAGTAAATCAACCCCCATGTATCCATTCCAGAGAATAGGCAGTCTGCTGCAAAACAGAAGTTCTGCCCAGCATGAAAAGAGATACAGATTTAAAAGGAAGAGCAGCAAAGAGAATGGAAACTACCATGGATTACAGTAAGTCACACATTACAGTATTGTTTTATGTTAAAAAAAACTGAGGGTTTAATGTCACTTTAACACTTAATTTGTTCTAACATTTAACCTCACCTGAGAAAATTAAATCTTAATATGTAACCTTAATCCTAAAATGTTCCCTAATATTTAATCTCCTATAACCCTAGTCTAACTTTAGCCTAACCCTTACTTTAATCTGAAATGCTAGATGCCAAACCATCACAGTCCTGCACAAACATTGGCAAGCTCTCAGCACCTAATCCAAATGATTCACAAATTGAGAGAATGTAATTTCATCTGTTGTGTATATCCTGTAAGGCGTAAAGTATTTTTGATACTTACCAATTAGACGTAGTAAAAGGAACAGAACACCCAGTGCATATGACTTGAGCTCTGGACTTACTGCCCTGCAGGAAGGAAAGACAAGAGACACAGTGAATAAGGGAATGTAACCTATAGAATAGCTAATGTTATGCTGATAATAAAAAGAAATCCTGGTATGTATAATGTCATCAAAAACATTTGTGAGGTTCATTTCCCTGGCCGTGCCCATCCTATGCTGATGAATCTTCAGCTGCTCATGCCCTGATTACTGTAAAAACCAGCAGTATTTGCCCTGCCTGGGGAATTCTGCAATGATTTGAGCAGTCAGGGTTGGGTGGTAACATATTCCACAATAAACTGAGCACCCTGGACTGAGCATAAGTAGAAAAGCAAGCCCTAGGAATGCATTAGAAAGTCCTGAGTGTTTATTCACTGAATCTTCTCAGTATTGAATTCACATAGTTTAGAAGAATATGAACAAACTGATGTGGGGAGCATCTACAATTCATGTACCAGATGGAAACCACCTATTTTATTCCCACTGCTATTGCTATTACTGCAAAGGATATTAAAATGTTACCCACTCAGTGAAGACCGAGGATCAGGAGAATTGCAGAGATTGTTAACACGACATTCAGCATGAATTATACATGAATGTAGTAGCTTCACAGTGTGAAAAACATGTAAGCATTGGGGTTGGACTAATCTTTCAAATAAAGACAGATAATGCCCTGTATACTACATGACCTTATGATCAATGGTGACCAGAGACATTACACAGCAGACAAAAATATGATCAGCTTTGCATATGTCTGTCTATCTTAAATACAGAGTGCAGAACTGAAAATGGCATAAACAGCTGAAGAACAATGATTATTACACAGCTTTAATTAATAGGCCCTTCAATGACACTTTGCTGTCAATCAGGGAGGTGCTATAACCTCTTCAAAAATCATTACTGGGATTTTTGCAGCGGCTGCTCCCTGTCTCAGAAATAATTACATCTGGAGCTGCATATTAAGTTCTGGACTTTAGAAGCATTGTTAACACCAGCTAATGGTGTCACTGGGAAATAAAAAGCAAGTCATTATGTTTGGGAACTGCAGATTTTGTCTATTGATCCTGCTAGACTGCCATTTTGTGACATCGTTTTGGGTACCTAATATACCTCTAAGAATTTATAGTGGTTATTCTTAGGTGTTCCCAGAGAGGTAAGCAGAAAGCTGTCCAAAAATGTCATATCATTACACAGAAAAGGTTTTTTTATAACACAGAAAAGAAACTGCTTGCTGTTTTAGATTTAGCTGTAGAATATCGGCTCAGTTATATAATGTTACAGCATGCCATGTAACATTTTAAAATATAACATCTGGGGCAATTAAGCCATGTCTTTGATGTCCCACAATTCTGCTGATTGGTCCATATTGGAATACATATCTTACACTTTACTAAGGCCCACCCCTATAGCCATCTAAGAAGTCAAGGTTGCCCCTTTACAGTGACATTTGAAAGTTATACCACAGTGGTTGGTTTAAACAAATTATGAAACAAAACACCCTGCAACATTCCAAGTGCTCTGGCTCACCAATTGCACCTTCCCCTTGAACGGTTTTGGTAAGGTTGATTTATGTGAGTTCAGGTTTTGAAAAATCTGGGCAAAGTCTGGTTTAATAATGGTGTGTTCTGGTTTCTTTGGAATTCGATTTGAGAGATAATCATAGCAGAGCCTTTTTTAAGCCCATATTTTGGTTTTCCTAAATGTATGTAAATTCAAAACCTATTTTTCAGGATGGTAGGCATCATGCCTCGTTATATACGGTTTTGTTCAGCAATTTTCCTGGAGGCTGACAATGGTAAGCCACTGATTTGCATTTAGCAGCAGTCATTCAGTCAGGCTATGCATCTGATAGACCTGAAAGAACGAATGCGGCAAGATGACAATACTGTTGCTAATTGTTTTCAGTGGCTAGCATGGTCAGCCTGCAACAGGAAGTGCTGTTACTGGCAGGATTTCTAAGAAACTTTGGAATAGATTTACAAAATAAAACAATATATGGTGAGACATGACACCAAAATAAAGAAAAATAGATATGGGGTTTACATACACTTTAAAGCTAACTTCTAGAGAGAGATGTAAAACACTAATCAGCAGTTATGTATTTATTGTAATAGCATTACTTTAATGTACTAATTGTATCTCTTTGTGTAATATATATATATATATATATACAGGGCTTGAAAAATTTTATGGTGTCTCACCAGTCAGTCAAAAATGTCACCAGAAAGCACATAGGTGGCGATTAAAACGCTTTTACTGCTCAGTTTAGTGTTATCAGTGATTAATGTCTCTAAAATTATTGCTCTCACTCCGACGTTTGCGGTGATATGTAATATGTGCGGCATAATAGGCAGAATCGTCGTTTTTGCACGTAGGCACACCCGACGCATATCTGCGTGTATATGTGGGGGGCGGGGACTTTCAAAAAAAGGTTTTCTTTTTAATTTTTTTATGCTTCTTTATTTTTTTATGATTCTTTAACTTTTGTATTTTTTTTTACACACAACTTTATTGCTATTACATGTGGGGCTAAGAAACCCCCTATGTGATAGCCAGTTTACATGACATGTCCTCTTTATGGAGACATCAAGGGTCTCCAAGACCCCTAATGTCACCTAGGGACCCCCAGAGAAGCTGATGAAGCAGAGATCTGCTTCATCAGCTTCTGTAGCTGGAGAGTGACACTGAATGCAGGAAGTGATGTAATCTACATCACTTCCTGATTTCATGGACTGAAAGGAGATCAAAGGGAGTTTGTATACTACTGAACTCCCTTTGATCTCCTGTCACAGAGCCGTTGGGCACAGCGGATCTCGGGACCGGCAACGGCAGTGACAGCTGCTAATACAAGCGATCGAGCATCTCTAGAGACGCCCGATCGCTTGAATGTAAAGCTCCCGGCCGGCCGTGTAATTACAAAGGCCGGCCGGGAAGCTGCTCGTCGGGCTCCTCTCGTCACAGACGAGCAGACAAGTGGATTTTTCAAGCCCTGCATATATATATACATATGTATTGGGGTTTATATCCCTGCATACCAGGACATAGACCTTTACATGAAAGACCAATGTTGTGAGCCAATTGGGCTCTTCTACAGTTCTGGAAGTCTAACACATAGAACATGTTTGCAGGAAGAGATACCTGAGTTAAATCAGTGATGCCTCTGGGGCTAGAAGTGTGACATGGACCAAGCTGCAAAGTTTAACTCTTGTGAAGGTCTACAATCTGCACATAATCTCTGGCCAGATTTTCATAATCATAAGACTGGCTAAACAAAACTGCAAATCTTGGACAGGTGACACAGTTGACATACATGTATTTCATATGTGTATTAGCTGCTTACCTGGAGTTAGCCTTAGTTTTAATGTTTAAATGTATGTAAATGGTAGAAAATAGCGTCATTGTTACTTCTAGTGTCTTGTGGCAGAGCAGACTGTTTTAGTCACACTAGGCTAAAAGAACTGGAATGTCTGCATGTATTGTTTTGTGCGTTGCACTAGCATGTGTACCTTTCTCTTTTTGATTGAACAGATCTGAGTGGCTGCCATATTTGCCTTGGTGCACACACTCTTCAGCTGCCTTGTTGAGGTAATGTCTGGGTTTCCGGTGTGTGTCTGTCCTTTTAAACCCGCTCTCTGTTTGTGCATTGCTATATGGTATATGTCTGCTATTTGGCAAACTCAGTGTAGAGTAAGGGACCACACTTATTACAGGTGCCTTGACGTTGCTCCTACGTATATTTGCATATGTATGCAACTAAAACCACTGTTTTTAACCTGAGTAGTTAAACAGATCAAACAGTATTTGTGCTGTCTAGCTTTAAAGTATGCTGGGGACTAATTTCTGTACCATCTCAACACTTATTCAGCACAGTGAATCTAGTAACTACCCCATTTAATCCATGTAGAATCTTCCAAATCCTTACTACAGGAGTGACATCTGTAGCTATATCAAGCCCTGGAATTGATGCACAGGCTAATTAACTTGTTGGTTAAACAGGCCTAATTTATCGCACAACCTATAATATGATGCAGAACGCTAATATAGAAAAACATGACCAATTGGCTTTACCACAATCAAATAAAACAGCCAATTTACAAACAAAAGTATTTAAAAATACATAAAGCTGAAAGAATACTTCCAAACGCTATCCTATTCTATCTTATTTAACAGCAGTCATCTAGCAAATGTACAGTACATTCTTCAGTCTGTACTGCAGTCTGATAGACATGGAGGATTTAGGCTGTGACAGCCAATGTTTCTGCCTGAGGGTAGCTGGAGGACCAGAGCACTATGATACAGCTGTGAAACCTAAAACATCATATAGCAGGTTTTCCTAGAAAATATGACAGGATACCAGCTAACAACACCATGTAACAAGAATGATAAGTGATAAGATGAGTAGGTTTGTTGTCCATGGAGAATTAGAGATGTTAGCTACAACAGATGTTAGCTACAACAGTGAGGGGGACAGAGTGGGGGCAGATTGCTTGTAACTGCAAAGTCAGAATCAGATTCCTAATACTAAAGCACAACTTTAGTCAAAACTTTTTTGTTTAGTTTTACATAGAATGAGAAAAGATTAGAACTACTGTTTAATTGTCTTTGTGTCCCTGAGTCCTAAGTGTCACCAGGACAAGTGAAGAAAAACATTTCCAAAGGGGTTACAAAGATCTTATGAAAGAAATTCTCTATTTAGTACAAAGGGAACAGATCAGAAAAACTCTGTCAGAAATTCATGTCCCCACTGGGGGAATTTCACCTCGCTTCCTATACCAGCACCACCAGTGTCAATAAGATAGGCACTGAGGGAAAACCTCCCTGGTTAGGGCATAGACAGCAAGTACAAATTTCCAGAGGTTTGAGGTTCTCCTTCTTTCCCAGTCTCTTCAAAACTATAAAACAAAAGGTTTTGGCTACAGTTGGTCTTTTATTTTCTGTACAGAAAGAGAAGCATTTCCAATTCTGCATAATGGGCACAGTCCAAGATTTCCCATGCCTCCCCTACTTTGAAAACCTGACGGGTTC